GGGTGCCCGCTCCGCGCGTGCCCGAGTCCGGGTAACGGGCGCGCGGAGGCGTGGCGTCACGTGACCCGGGGAGCCGGCGGTACGGGGCTGAGGAGAAACGGGGGTCCTCGCGGGGTTGGGCGGTGGGTCTGGCGCGTTATTGGGGCGCGGGGGCCACGTAGGGCTGGGAAGGGAATCCGAGGCGTCCTCCTGGAGCTGCGGGTGCCGGGACGCGTTCTGGGGGCCCGTGGGGCTGGGAAGGGGGTGGGGAAGCGGGGGTCTCGCGAGCCTGTTATGCGGGGTATTGCCCTGGGACTCGGGAGAAGGGGCGGCGGTCTCCGTGCCTGATGGGGCCGTTCTTCCCCCGACTTCCCCTCCTCCCTTTTGTTCCCTGCTCGCAGACCGTGGCCGCCCCTTTTTCCTCCACGCTGGTACCGGGCGAGGCCTCGGAGAGCGATTCGGAGCCGGAGCCGGAACCGGGGGGGAGCGCGGCCGGGCCCCCCGCAGCGGGGCTGAAGCTTCCGGGGGAGGCGTCGGAGACCGAGGAGGAGGAGGAGGAGGAGGAGGAAGAGGACCGTGCGGCCCGAGTGCTGCTGCCAGGGGTGCCCCGGGGGGGGCCCTCATTGCTGCAGCAGCGGCTGGGGGCGGGCGAGGGGCGACTGCGGGGCGCGATGGCTGAGGCACTGGGACGCGGTTTCAGTGGGGCTGCGCGGCTGCTGGAAGGCCTGGGGGGGCCCCTGGGCCGATCCCGAGCTGGGGCAGCTGCCACCGCGCACTGCCTGTGCCTGGTGCGCCGTGACCTACGCACCGTGGCTGCCACCGTCGCCGCCTGCCGCCTGCTGCCCGACATCCGCGGGGAGCCGTGAGAGTGGGAACGCCAGTGGGCGGTGTTGGCAGCCGCGGGGAGCTCCTGGCGTCGTTGCAGTGTCGCTGTCGCTGACCTCCAGTGCTGTGTCCGACGGACTTGGGGGTTGTGGTTGTCACTGATGGCGTTCTTGCTGTTGCTGCGTTTCCAGTGCTGTGTCCCCTTGAGCTGCTGCTCCCATCAACAGCACTGCCACTGATCGCTCAGTGTCTCAGCGGTGTCACCTGGCCTGTGGGGACCTTGGCCTCACAGGGACGTTGTCACCAAATGGAAGCTCCTGACAATTGCGTGGTCCGGAATTCTGTGGTTTTGCCCTATTTAGGGGGTCTGAGGTTTGTGGCACCAAATAAAGCCCTTCGGGGGCACAGCTGCAGCAAGGACACGACTTTCACTAGGCGGGTGGCAGCGTGTTCACCCGTGGCACTGTTGCTCCAGTGGTCTGAGCAAGGTCCTTTTTGTTGCCCCTCGTGTCCCCACGTTGTGGTTGTGTCCTGCCGTACGAATGTCTCCAGCACCTGGC